AGTGAACATCAACTCTGGGATGCAGGTACATCCAGCTGATGGGTCCCAAATAGGACGAAATGCCCGTCATAGACTCAAATGCTAGCCACCATCCATCTTCGCTTATACTGCTTGTGACTTCAGGCAATATCGAAGTGATCCCCACAGGATGCACATAGGCCAATAAGAGACTAATCAATTGCAGTCCTAAACATCAATAGGAAGATTCAAATAGCCAATACAAAATGAATTAAAACTTTTAGAACTTTAGTTTCTTGAACATATAATCCTATTAGAGTAATCATTGGAAAAGAAGTTTAATCAAACAAAATATAATGTCGAAATTTACTTAGTAAACCAGAAGTATTATTCATGTTGTCACTAATAGTTCATGCCATATTGTTATTCGAATGAATTTGTAATGTTGTGGCCTTACTGAGTACTGATGAATTAACATTGAATAGTAAGATACCTTGTAGTTCTAGCCTTTTATTTTTATTCCAGATAAATTCAACATACGCCTAAGTTGAAGTAACACAGGAATTGGATATAACAAGTGTTAAATAATGATCTTTCATTTAGGACATTATTCATCTTTGATATCGATCAATTTTATAGTATATCTTCAGCGAAACCGTTAAATCTTAGATGTTTAGATGACAACTTTGATGAATGACCTATTTCGGTTCTACATCAATATGTGATATATGTACCTAGAATAAAGCAACTAACAACTACTATTATTCTCATTGTTTTTTACTATTTTTAGAGTAAATACATAAAAAGAGTCCAGCCTTCCACACCTTCCTTTCTCTCTCTCTCTTTAAACCAAACTCACAAATTATAATGTATGTAAACTAGAGCAAATCAGTTGAAGTATCATAATTTTGGCGATGCAGAACTGAAATATTGATAATGAACAAATCTTTTGTCAATTAAGTATGATTTTAAATTTCTAAATTATTTACTTTATTTTTATATAAATCACATGGTAGAATGCTGTTAGTCAGTCAGTCAGTCAGTCACTTACAACGTAGAACCAGGCACATATATGTATCGGTCCAAGATGCCATACCTCATTAGCACAACAAGATGAACACCGAATTCAGAGTAGTTAATTCATTGCCTCCAAATGCCCTGGTACGGCCGAGAGTGGGAAGAGTCCGCTCTCCCTCCCGAAATACTCTCACACGGCCACGAGTATACAGCCTCTGACAGAGAAGTCCTACTCACTGCCTTCTCGCAACACGGGTGTTGTTTACAAAATTGAGAGGACGAAAATCGAATGTCCGGCGCTTTAACCGGATTCCAAACCAATGGTGCACATGGGCTCCAGTATCCTGAGGGAACAAATGGCGTATGAACCAATCATTGGTCACCGGCTACCGTGGGACTGCATCTCCTTACGATGCTCCACTGCCTTGTGGATCAGACCTTCAGGTCGAAGGCTCGGGTGTGGCCCCCTACAAAAACCACCTGCTTCGGTTTGGGCACTCCGGCAGTATCACAGCCCTTACACATATCGAATGAGATTTGTGTGGCGCATACGTATTTGGTGCCTCTTTGTACCATTATCTATGTGTTGAAATAAATAAAAAAGTTAATTCATTAGTAGTAATATATAAAGGAAGGATTGCATATAAGGATGTAGTACAGGAAGAGAGAAAGCTATAAAGCAATTTTATTCTCACAGTTTAAGGGAAGACAGAGAGTGTATACACCTAAAACATTGTGTTTGATTGGAAAGGAAATTTGAATGTAAGTTTAGTCATGGTCACAATATCTTAGGAATGATGTATCAAGTTCGACACTGTTTGACTCGTTTTTCTTCTCAAAGGAGCATTATTTTAGGGAGCATGAAACTAAGGTCGAGTGTTTTTAGAAGATTGTATTCAGCCATTTCAAAGTGCATAATAGTGTACAGATAACTAACCTATTGAAAAAGTATTATGATGTGTCGAAATTTGAATGAACTTGATTTTGATACTATTATCATGACATAAAATTGGTTGATCATATAAGGCCAATGAAATATCACTGAGCCACAGTGATATCATCCAACAGTTGGATTACTGAATACCGAACAGTTCATCGGTCCCCGCACATCAGTTAATCGTATGCCATGGACTAGCCCATGCAGTGATGGTCTCACTATCTTCTCTGTACTCGTTCTTAATCATATATTACCGTAATAAAGTCCTCTATGTTTTACTGTCTTCAAAGTAGCCATAGTACCTTCATACATCGAAAGGATAATTCACGTTAGGCTCAAACCATTAAATGTGACTTCGAAATGAGTTTTTGGTCACACCATTCCTGTCTAATTCAAGTAGCCCCCCCCCAATCATTCAACATAGATCATCTATGTTAGTGATCTACATTCATTTTATTGTTAATACCCCATAGATAAATACCAGTAACCTAACAAACGACACTAACAAAATGTATTTAGATTGTACTACATGAACTAATTACCATCTTACACATTGAATACCAATAACTTACTGATTAATTAATTAATTAATTAATCACTATGGTTATTTTACAAGATAAAGACCATGTTACAAATCTGTCATAGAGATCATTTCTTTTTGTTTTGGCATAATTATTCAAATACAAAAATGCAAACGCCCTAAATTATCTGACTCGTTTGAGTAATTAAATAAAAAGTATAAAAAAACACAACTGTGGTATCCAATTTCTAGAGGAAAAACTTTTATTACATTGTGTTTTATTACTCCTTTCAATTACAAACAAAAAACCCGCATATTTTGACATGGATATCATCAGTCTTATGAGCATTTAGAACAAACGTTTTCTTTTTTTTCAATTTTCAGTATAGGGCTGTGGAGATTTTTAAGTTTTTGATCATCATTGAAAACCTGGAAGCGCTGGACGGCTGTTTCGTCCTATTGTGGTTGAGGTTAGAAATTACCACAACTGAATGCCGGCCGGATCAATGGTCTAGAGGTTCAGCGTTCGCGCGCTAGAGACTGAAGGCCCTGAATTCGAATATCGTGAGGCGGGATTGTGGATGTGCACTGCTAAGGAGTCCCATAATAGGACGAAACAATCGTCCAGTGCTTTCATGTTTTCACTGGTGGTCTGACATCAATAGGTTCATGATCTTAATCGAAAAAAATCATTTGGTGAATGTAGTTAATCAGATCATTGATGTTCACACCGGGACTCTATAAAATAAACTTGTAACAAATATGAGTGTATCTGGTTAGTCGGGACAGAATGTACATATATCAGCTAAGACTGATCAAAATTTTATTAGGAAAGAAAACTAATTACATATGAAGTTTCATTCAATCAAGTTTACATTGTGCTGTATGCTATGCTATCAGTTTCTGAACCACGAATATGTTGTATTATCAATTGAACTGGAGTTATAGCAAATATTTGTTTACTATAAATGTGTTCATTTACTTCTTGACCTCATTGTGTCATCTGTACTGTAACGAATCCTAATCGTTGTGTAATTGTGTCATAACAATGTTTTATGCCATTTATAGCTGGGTAGATGAAAAACGATTCAAATTGAATACTTTAAGAAGTAAGCTATCTCATTATACATAAATACCAAAAAAATATATTCTTACCAAATATATTACCTCTGCCTAAAGCCCCTTTGAGGCTACTGCCGGTCCCAAATCCGGATAAAGGAAGAAGGTTTGGCACGGGGTTAGCGACTCTATCTCGTAGAAAACTAACTTGTTAAAAAACGCTAACTAGAAAACAAAAATTAAAACCATTTAAACTCTGCCCTGGGAGTTAGGTTTTCATTTAGAAGAGTTATGACACTTCATGGTGAAAACCGAGTTCCTGCGGAAGTCACGAGACTGATGCCCCTTCTGACAACTAGAGTGACCATTAGTTTAGGTACATGGAATGCTTGCACAATGTGGGAGACCGGAAGAGTCATCCAAATCGCTACGCTAAACATATTACATCATACATTAAGATATTACTGAATGATTGGGAAAATTTTATTTTCGTCGTCATTAAGATGGTGATTGAATGTAGTCAACAGGAAACCCTGAACCTCAGTTTCATGCCACTTGGCCCTCATCAGCAAGGTGTACCTGTAATCATGAGAGAAGTGATGCTTCCTGACGGACTCACTCTTGTGTCACCCAGCTTCACAGTCAGAGACGTTACCACTGAGCTAGCCGGGCTACGACTGAACTTCTGGAGGACTGAGATGTATTTACAATTTGTTGATCACTGGGTGATGATCAATGTCATGTATGTCAGGTCCTTCTTAGTGCAAGATTACACATAAACCTTGCTGGCAAGTGCCAAGTAGCACGAAACTTAGATTCAGGGTTTCCTGTTGACTATCTCTAACCACCATCTTATCTCAGCATAGTGTACGCAATGTCATCATCATTGTATTCAAATTTATCATTGTTACTAAAAGGTGCAGTATTCTACAATAATCAATAAATATTTATCCACTTACCAATTAGAAATGAATATTGTTGTAAAGATTTGACAAAAACTTGAATAAAAACGAATAATCCATATACAATATAATAAATATACAGGTAAAAATCCATATTGAATCCAACCGATTTGTCGAAAATCCAAACATCCAGTAAATTTTAATCGAATTGGTTCAACTAAGAAAATGAGTAAAGAATAATAATAATATACCATTTTGTTTTTCTGTACAAAATGTCAAATTTTCTTCAGTATAGTGTTATGGAGATTATTCAATTGTTTTTTTTATTGAGATCATGAATGGAGTGATGTTAGACCAACATTGAAAACCTGGAAGCACTGGACAGACGTTTCGTTCCATTGTGGAACTCTTCAGCAGTGTATATCCACAATCCTGCTCACGGGATTCAAACTCAGGAAATATCAGTTTCGTGCGCGAATGCTTAACCTCTAAACCATTTAGCCGGTAAAGCAATTTCGTGGGTTGGTTGAGGTTAGACACTGACACCGTCGGATGCCGGCTCAGTATTCTAGAGAGGAAGGTTATGCGCTTGCGTGGCTGATAGGTCCAGGGTTCGAATCTCGCCCGGTGGGATCGTAGATGCGCATTGTTGGGGAGTCCCACACTAGGATGAAACGGGCTTCCAGGTTTTCCATAGTGGTCTAACATCAATCGCTTCATGATTTTAATCAAATTGTTTTGTTGTCAAGATCAAACTCGTAATTTTTAGCACGAATTAGATGTATAACTCATTTAATGTTTCAATATGTTTCGCGCTTGCAACATACAAAAATCATCAGATGGTTAACTAAACTAGACAAGTTAAATAAACATTTTAAAAGTCAAAATTTAATTTAATCAACATAAGAGTTCCGAACATTGTATGCTCAAAAGCAGCTTGAATAGTAACATCACAACAAGTGTGTGTAGATACATACAGATGGAAATCTCCATCAAAAACAGCGTACTGTGGAAGAGAACAAACTAGCTCCCAGCTAAGGAGGAAATCAAGACGTTTGAAGTGGATAGGATATGCATTACGGAAATCATCAAACTGCTTCACGAGGATCCCGATGGAAAACGGACAAGAGGAAGGCCAAAGAACACTTTGTTGGGAATTAGAAACAGACATAAAAAGGATGAATAGCAACTGGAAAGGAGTGGAAGGGATTGTTCAGGACGGGGTTGGATATAGAATGCTGGTGGGTGGCTAATGCTTGTCCACGAGGAGTAACAGGTGTAAGTAAAGTGAGGCAACTTCTCAATGAATATTGATGTACGTTTTATGTAACAACGCCTATATATATAAGTGTAATGAACAAAACCTTTCCCGTAATATAAGACATATTACATTTGAAAGATCATCTACTATCAAGGAATATCATATTCACTGCTGATTATCAGCATTCAGTTAGTCCAGGTTGTCTGACCCAAAACCGACACTGTGCACATCACTATTATTATTGATATCGGACAAACAAATACTCAAAGTTAAGAAAACAAACAATTCACTTGGTATTGTTTACTTGAATTTTCCCATTGATGTTTAGGACTGCGATTGACCAGTATCTTGTTGATATATGTGCATACTGTATGTCTTGCCTTGATATGGCCTAAACATCAATGTGAACAGTCAAGTAAAACAATACCGAGTGAATTAAATTTCACCCCATTGTACAAGCTATTGGCTATCAGGACTCGGCAGCTAAGTGGATAACGTGATGATGTTTGAAGCGAACGATATTGGGTTCGAGTTCCGAAGTGGACATCAACTCTGGGATGCAGGTACATCCATCTGACGAGTCCCAAATAAGACGATTCCACTGCTATCCACTATCCATTTTCGCTTATAAAACAAACAATGTCTAAAAAGTACAGTGATTTCACCAGGTATTCTATTACTTTCTCTTATATGACCTATATATATACAAAACTCTTTACATATATCCATCAAAGAAAGGTGAATTGCTCAAAAGATGAATTTCATTGTAGAATTAGAATTATATCTTTTAACAATATTTCCATTATTACTCTTTGTGATAGTCTTACAATATTGTATAATATAATTCAATTAAGTAACTTTGATCCAGATTTGTTGAAATGATTCAACTGAATACGAAATTCTACTAGTCGTTCATTTTTAGTCAAGTATACAATAAATAAAGTCAATATACTAAAGATGATTCAACTCTAAATATATTAGAGTATTGTAAGCATAAGACAACAAACTTCCGATAGAATAGGCGTGATGATAACATGACATGTAAATTACTTTGATCCAATGTATCCAATGCTGATGACTGGCGTCACTATTTTTTTGAATGTTACAGTTAATCAGTACATAATCTCATATCAATGCTTAAAGTTTACAATAATCAGTATGCTGCTAATAAAATCTAGTCATATATATTTACTGGTTGAAATCATGAGTCAATTAAAGCTAGACCACCATGGAAAACCTGGGTAAGCGCCTGGTGCGAGACTGGTAGGTCCTGGGTTCGAATCTCACGGGGTGCGGGATCGTGGATACGCACTGCTGAGAAGTCCCATACTATGACGAAACGGCCGTCCAGTGCTTCCAGGTTTTCCATGGTGATCTGGCTTCAATTAACTCATGATTTCAACCATTAAAATTTCTAAAATCTCCACAAAACTCCTGATATATATTTACTGTAAAAAAATGTCTGAACTCTAATAAACTACCATTTTACAAGAAACGTTTCAAGTAGCATCTACATATAACATGTATTAGTGAAGTTCGACTTAACTGAAAAGTATTCTGTAATGCTTATTTCCTGTCAAACAGTTAGTAAATTAGGAGATAATCTTCAGGAGAAACTGATACCATTTAAAGAACTACAGAACAAAAGTGGAAAAGTTATTGGAGGTCTGTTTTGTCCTATTTTTGAACAACTTATTACTGTACACCTATAACCCGACAGAATATTCAGACGACGATATCATATGTGTATCTAACAATCAATAAAACACTGTATGAAATGAAACAATTGTAAGATAAATATTAGAGACAGTTTTGTGGATATTTTAGTAATTTTAACAGTTTAAATCATGAGTTCATTGAGGTTAGACCACCATGGAAAACCTGGAAGCAGTTCACGGCCAACTCGCTCTACTGTGGGACTCCTCAGCAGTGCACATCCACGATCCCGCTCGCGGGATTCGAGCCCAGGACCTTTCGCTTCATGCGCGTGAACGCTTAATCACTAGGCCACTGAGCCAGCCGGCATCCAACAGTGTTAATGTCTAACTTCAAATAATGCATGAAATTGAGCGACATATCCACGACTGTCCTTTGTGACTAACTATCTCACAGCAGACGAGATTGAACTCCAACTGTTCACTGTTTCTAATAAATAACTACCCTGCATTAAAAATGGGTATACGAATAGATAACGTTGATAATGTTACTTATAATACAGAATATTAATCATGAAGTTGAATCTAAAAACTTCAATCTTTCCTTTGAACCATGTTAAATTATATCTGATATATTAATTCTTTAGAAATTATACTACTTTTTTTTCTTTGGTTTAGTTAGTAGTATGTAAATTCTTTCAGAAATTCTTATTCAGTAGATTTTTCTTATTGATTCAGAAGCTGACGCCATTATTTCATTGCTTTTTTTACATCAAGTCGTTCAAAAAACTTTCGTTGTTAAGACAATACCATATAAGTATTCATAAAATATTATGTCAATCAAAAGAAAACATTAAATATGTCATTGAAATCTATGTCATTTCAGTTAGTTTATATTAAATTCTGATAAAATTCAAGACATATATCGTTGATTTAAAACTGGAAAAGAAATGGTAGTTAATGGTGGTGCATTTTAAAATAAGTAATATTTTCTGTCGATCAGTTAGTCGTGGTTTTCTTCTGGTAAGAGATTTTTTTAGTGAGTTATTTTTCTACGAGAGTCAGACAAGTCTGTCTACTCTCCCCCACTTCTTCTTTCTTCTGGTGGTTGACTGGATTATGAAGACCTCGACATCTGAAGAAAAACATAGAATACAATGAACAACTCAGAACCAATTAGACGAATAAGACTTCGCAGATAACCTAGCCCTCCTAAATCATACACAAGAACAAATGCAGATGAAGACAACTAGTGTAGCAGCAGTCTCTGCATCAGTAGGTCTCAAAATACACAAAGATAAAAGCAAGATTCCCAAATGTAACAAGGAGAACATAAAATTAATCACGCTTGATGGCGAAACTCTGGAATATATGGAATGCTTCAGGTACTTGGGAAGCATCATCGATGAACAAGGAGGATCATATGCAGATGTAATGGGAAGGATTGAAGAAGCAATCAACGCATTCTTACAATTCAATAACATATGGATTTCATAATAACTGGTCATCAACCAACATCAAAGTCACAATCTTCAATACGAACGTCAACACAGTTCTACTATACGGAGATGAAACTCCGTATGAACTACTACAACCATCATCAAAACAATACAAGTATTCATAAATTATTGTCTACGCAAGATACTCAACATCCATTCTCCAAATACCATCAGCAACAGCCTACTGTGGAAGAGAACAAATCAGATTCCATATGAATAGGAAATTAGGAAAGACTATGGAAATGGATAGGACATACATTACTGAAATCATCAAACTACATCACGAAGCAATCCCTAACATGGAATGCTGAAGGGAAGCAAACAATTGGAAGGTCAAAGAACACATTACGTTGAGAAATATAAACAGTTATGAAAAGAATGAATAACAACTGAAAATAACTGAAAATGATTGTTTGGGACAGGTTTAAATGGAGATTGTTGATGGTTGATCTATGCTCCTCTACGAGGATTAACAGGCGTGAGTGTGTAAGTTAGTCATAATGAACATAGAGCATGGTACAGATGTACACGTACTTAGATTATCGTACTATTTAAAGACAACATGATGAAATGAATACATTGAATAGTGAGGGAATCAAAATAATATGGTAATCACAATGAGAAAGTCTAACCATCAATAGGAATATGGTTCTAAAAGACAGAAAAAGAAAGATGGATAGAGAAACACGGGAACTCAAAACAATTGGAAATATAAAAATTAAATGTATCTGCGCCACTATGATCGATTCTAAGTCATGTCCCACAATGACTTCAATCACTGATCATGGAAACAATCATAATAGATAAACATACTTAATACTGATATAAATTAAGTAGTATGAAAGATTACAGTTTTCTTCAACTGATTTCTATCCATTTTATAACTATCATAATATAATTAGTCGTACAGGAAATACATCTACGTAACACAGATTATAATATAAATTCACACTTGTCTTATATCTTATCATAAATTGCATGTATGTGTGTATGTATGACTTATGTATGTATGTATGTATGTGTGAAGTAACTTGAGGTAAATCACCATGGTAGTTATAAACAAATAGATTATATCTATTTAACTTTATCTTATAAAATACAAGAACTACTGTTGAATATGAAGAAAGATAAACTTGAATTAATAGTAGACTACAAAACTAATACAAATATAACAATGTACATAAGTAAATTTATTTGAAAGTAGTAGACTAAACATGTAACTTGTTTAGACTGTTATTCAACTTAAGATCAATGTGAAGTATTAGGAATACATTTCATATTGGTGGTTGAGAAGATTTGTAACTCAGGTGGATGAAAGCTGCATGACCATACCATCCAACTCAGAGAACAAAACTAAACCAAAAACATTTCATACTGGTTGATGGTTATCTAGTAAACATTTAATTTGTACACAAAGTCATTCATAGTAAGGTAGGGTCACAGATTGTAACAATCATAGGTGTGGCTTAGAATCTATTTAAAATTTTTATTGTGCTCAGATATGTCAATAAATCTTAGTTATACATGCCTACCACGACAAGACCCAGATGCACGATTTCCTGAATCTAACTACCTTTTATATTTGACTTAGAATATGCCGATGACATAGTGCTATTTGGTGAAGACTCTGACAAAATGCAGAGTCTTCTGACCATTATAAGCAACAATGGAAGCATGTTCGAGATGCGATTCTACCCCTTGAAATGCAAAATGTTGCTTCAGGATTGGGTTGCGACGACACCTAAACTAATGATAGGGAGTGAAGCAGTTGAGCGTGTCGACCACTTCATTTATCTTGGGGGTCTCATCAACCCCTGTAGTATGGTGTGTGACGAAATCTCAGCACAGATACAAAAGGCTCGACCAGCTTTTGCTAACTTGCATCATTTATGGCGTAGGTGAGCTATCCGTCTACCAACCAAAGGACGGGTTTATTGTGCAGCAGTTCGTTCCGTCTTACTTTACGGCTGTGAAACATGGCCGGTAAGAGTAAGGGATGTTCGGAGGTTACTTGTATTCGATCATAGATGTCTTCGAAACCACTCGTATATCCTGGGACCACTGGATAAGTAAATTAGTTGTTAGGAAACGCGTACTAGGTAAGGATGGCAAATCAACTGATGAAGTAATGGAACTTCATCAGTTGAGATGGCTTGGGCACGTGTTAGATAACCCCGATTACTGACTGCATCGACGTGCGATGTTTTATGGTGTAGGAGTAGGTTGGAAGAAAGCTAGGGGCGTCCAGACCAAGACATAGCACAAATGCATGAAGTCACTGACAAGTTGATCAAGATCATTTGCAATGGTGCAGGTGCATCCACTCCTTGTGTTCTCCTAAATTCCAATCTTTTGACTTCTTCATGTCCTGTTCCTTCTTCTCTTTCCAAATGAATTTCACTGTATTATACTCCTTGAATAACATCTTCAAACCCTAATCTTTCCGATTAGCAGTTAGTCAACTATATCAGTCATTTATTGATAGATTTTACAGATTATTCGTAAATTTAATCAGGATAGAATAATATTATTACCGTTACTATAAATGTTATCATTGAACAATTTTTAAATATCAACCTTATTGTAAACTTTTAAAAAGTAATATATCACAGTTTAGATTAGATATACATCTATCACTTTAAATACTTATATCCTTAAAGATAATGTGAATGATGGCTACGTAACTAACTACTCATAACTAATATCTGTTACTACTCAGTGATCGATTAATGGATATCTCTCAATCCTAAAATAGGAAAATGGTTGCCTAAAGGGCTCAGTCATAACATAATACGGGATAATTAGATTTTGATGGAGTTTTGTTCTCTGAGCTGGATGGTTTGGTCGTGGAGCTTCCATCGTTCTTCTGAACGACATCATCAGCACGAACTTCAGATAGAACTGAAGTGTTCGAATTTCTCTTTATGCGTTTCACAGCTTGTTCTGTACACCACGACGTTGATTGGTTCTTATAAGGACCAAGAATCTGAAGTTTGTGCTGACGATGTCGTTCAGTAGAACGATGAAAGCTTCACAACCAAACCATCCAACTCAGAGAACAAAACTCCATCAAAATCATCCAGCTGAGCTACAAATCTTCTCCACCATCTCATAATTAGATTATAAAGAGTGGTGGTGGCGGGGCATCAGTCATCTTAAGAATATAGATACACTCTTCTGAAAAGTACCTATATACACACAAAAAAAATCTATGTCAAACTAGGCTCTTCTATCACTTTATCAAGAAACAATTTAATAATACCTCATGTCAATATGATAAAACTTACCCATAGCAAATATATGTAATAAACTATATACAGATAGAAAGCATAATAAACTATTTCCTATCATTATTATGATTAATATAATGATTATGAATCCATATAATTCAGTTAAACAATCTGATAATAATACAAATAATGCTTCAACAATAAATTGTATTGTACTTTGCCATTGACTTGTTGAATTTCTCAATGATGAATTTAAACAAATGATGCATATCTAATGGATGGAAATTATGGTGAAGGAAAAAAAGAAACAAGAACAATGAAAAGGTGGATACATTAAAAATGCATAACAACAAATAAAATAACTTTTTTTTTCTAGTTGAAATATTTAGGTTGGAACTAGTTTTTTTGTCATTTGAAATCTTAATACTATTAGTATACAGTGAATAGAGGTGAATATTATCTTTTGTTCTTGAAATATTCATCACCAACTTACTTTCGTCTGTTATTCCTCGTAGAGGAGCATAGGCCAACCACCAACACTCTACATCCAAACCTGTCTCAAACAAGCCTTTCCAGTTATTTTCAGTTGTTATTCATTCTTTTCATAACTATTTCTATTTCTCAACGTAATGTGTTCATTGGCCTTCCACGCTTTTACTTCACTTCAGAATTCCATGTTAGGGCTTGCTTCGTGGTGCAGTTTGATGTTTTCAGTAATGTAATGTTCTCTTCCACAGTAGGCTGTTGCTGATGGTATTCGGAGAATGGATGTTGAGTATCGTGTGTAGACAAATATTTATAGATAGTTGTATTGTTTTGATGATGGTTGTAGTAGTTCATAGAGTTTCATCTCCGTACCGTAGAACAGTCTTGGTGTTCGTATTGAAGATTGTGACTTTGATGTTATTTGATAGACAGTTGTTTTGAGATGCATATGTTTTTGAATTGTAGGAACGCGTCCATTGCTTCGTCAATCGTCGCATTTATATCTGCATATGATCCTTCTTGTTCAAAGATAATGATTCATCATCAAACTAGTATAGAAATGTGCTAGTACAACTGAGAGTGATGAGAGCTCGCTATCTCTCTTGAAGTGTTTCTTACATGGTCACGTGTATGCAGTCACTGCCAGGAAATTATTTACCCAATGTTCTCTTGCAGCAAGAGTGGTTTTTACGAAATCGAGAGGACGAGATGTGAATATCCGGTGCCTTAATAAAGTCTGTGGATATGGAGGGCTTAAAGGAGTTGAAAAATCCTGATTCCAAATCAATGGTGCACATATGCTCCAGGATCCTGAGGAAACGAATGGCTACTGTCTTGTAGATTAGACCTTTAGGTCAAAGACTCGGGGATTAACTCCTTAAGAAAACCATCTGCCTCGGTCTGGGCGTCCGGGTAGTGTTGCAGACCTCACACAATTGAATGAGGAAGTGTGTCGCAAATATATTTTATACCCCCTTGTACCAATGTTTCGTGTATTTAAATAAATAAATAAATGTACTTGGCTATTGAATTATAAAATGAGGAAGAAGATTCATAGTTCATGTGGACGATTTTTATTATCTTATGTATTCTGAGTTCAGTGGTTTTATCCATTCTTCAAAAGAACCGGAAAATGTGAGGATTTTGTTCGACAAATAAAATGATGACATTAAGGTATAGTTATTAGATTCTAAAGCATGAACCAGTAGAGTGTGGTATGCTGAATAATGTAATAGCTTTAGCCAAGTAACCTTCAATGTTAGAATTTTACTGTTCTACAGAACAATCAAGTTTTATATAACTTCTAATACATCAAAGCATTAAATTATCGTATAGTTACTTTGATCATAGTACCTTGAAAACACTTGGATCAAACTGTCGATTGAAACGCTGAACTTATTTTAAGTTCAACATCTAGGATTTCTACAAGTATAATTTCCCCCTTAATGTCTTAAATTAATGAAATCTGCATATATCATAGTTTATAACGGTAAACTGTAGATTACTGAAGATGCTATGTCCTTTGAACTGGAGTGTCTAATCGTGAAACTTTCATAGTCTTTCTCAGCAGCATCATCAGCATACACTTCGACAAAAAATGAGTTATCTAGAATTTCTCAAAAATTGACCGGTTTCTTATTCTGTTGACCTAGAATTTGGTTGTTCGTTGTTCATCGATGTGTGGCCATTGTTTACATATTTGTTTTGATTGTTTTTACCTCTGATCTAATATCTGATCTTGGAGATATTTATCCTTTCCTTTATTGGTTGATATATTAAGTCATTTTCGAAATGTCTATTGGCCGATGAGTTACCAGAGTATTATGCTTTTAAGAATACCTTGTTTCTTTGTGTTCCCTCTGTCTAATGTTTTGTTTGAAAATCTGACTTAATTTTCTTTAAGATACATATCTATGTTAATGATTGTGCCGTAAATACATCTCAATTCAAGTTACCTAATATAATTTCCTAATCATACTTCATTTTCTTAATTCATTCGTTGACAGACTTCACATATAGGAAACATAAATCGGTATCAGACTCTGAAAACTGTTTAGTAAAACAGGAACTCAGGTGAGTAATCAGTCAGTTCAAAATCGTATACAATATATATCTTGAATTTCACTGTTACGTATTATAGATAAATACGAAAATCACATAAATATAGACATCTCTGAGGTATCCATCTGTTCATAGACGTCATTTATAAATGTCAAACATGAAGAAGAGTGCTACAATCTGTTATGTAAAACAAATCACTGAAGTGTATTATATATATATATATATATATATATATATATATATATATATATATATATATATATATATAACTCTGCATGTAGCTCTTCTCGAGTTACTGCCGGTCCCAAGCCCGGCCACAAAGAAGGACGGTTGGGCATAAGGTTAGCGAAACCACCCCGTAGAAAACTAACTCACCAAAAAAAAGCGCTAACCAGAAACAAATATATGTATATTAATATAACTTACTAAAATAAATAAACAAATGCATAGGATAATTGTAAATGTTACATGACTTAATAAATGACTTTGATTGAATACATCATTCTTCCACCAATATGCATATTTCAAACTCATAATATGAATCCATAGACGAACAATTAAAAAAATCATCAGTACTGATATCACATAGCAACAATTTGTCATAATTGAATGTTGATTAGAAACAAAAAAAGAGGAAAAAAGAGAAACAACATTATGATAAATAATTTTTTATTGATTTTATGTTGTGAATTAAGATTTTAATAGAAAACAAACAACATTTGAAAGTAAATTGAAATTTCTGCTTTATTAATGTGGCGAGACCCTAATTTATGGGTGAGCCAGTCAGAAGCGTTTTAGACATTTCAGGGTTACGGCTCCAACGTCAGTGCTTAATGCTAACGTATGATCGGTTCACAGGGAATTTTATAAAAAAACGTGATAATTGAGCGGCTATAACAAATAAAACGGTGGGACTATAATTTGTGGACGAATCAATCAGGCATAAGATAATAGATCTCGGATTTTAACGCGAAAACCTTTCATCCATTTGGCTAAATAAATTTCTGGCATTATAGCTTATGTCAGTTCGTAATGAAAACCCCATATATAATTTCTAACTAAGGCAATTTACGACAATTATTGCGAACTAGATAATAATACCTATCTGCAGCCAGGTACTACAATATATACGGATGTTTGGAGAGCGTACAGGCTCCTACATAGGCTTGGTTATGTGCATCGTGTTGTTATCCACAAGTGGCATTGAATGTACTCAACAACTGGAGTGCATACAAACAATACTGAAGCTATGTGGTTGAGGCTGAAAGAATTTTTGCGACCTTATCATGGCGCCAGAGGCCGACTATTTTGTAGCCGTGTGGATGATTTCCTCTACTGCATGCATTACGATTTTAGAACTTCCGAAACTCTTTCTAACCTTGACAAATTTTTGAACCACGTATAAGAAGTGCATCCACTTTATTTCCTTGGTTTTGTATAACATCTTTTTACTCTATGCTGACTGTTTGCTGATTGGCTAATATGCTCAAGGTCACTTAAGCTTCGTTCGAAGGTCGTCTATAAATTAGAGTCTCACCAATAATGTTTATTGATTGCTTAGATTACGTAACTGGTGATTAGGATTAATATTGATTAGTCTGTTTTGATAATATGTGCATTCTATACTATTTGCCTTGATATTATTATTAAATCAAAAAGTATTCTTAAGCAGATATGAATAATGGCTAAGAGGGAATATTCAGCTGACAAATCTTTAGTAAGATGAAATGAACACCTTGAATTCCACTGTTAACCAACATCTATCTCTGCTTAAAAATATTGATTTCTGTAAGATCTTAATCAGGCTTCATTCGCATAAACAGTAATATTTTTATGTATATATGAAAATTATCTTTGATGGTTAACGTTTTTTAGCAAGTTAGTTTTCTACGGAATGGGGTCGCTAACCCCATGCCCGACCCTCCTCCTTTACCCGAGCTTGAGACCGGTAGAAACTCTAGAAGAGCTACAGGTGGAAGTGAGAAAGAGGAAGGCCAAATAACACATTACGTCGGGAAATAGAAGCAGATATAAAAAGGATGAATAACAACTGGAAGGAGCTAGAAATGATTGCCCAGAACAGGGGTGGATGGAGAATGCTGGTGAGCGGCTTATTCTCCTTCACGAGGAGTAACAGGCGTAAGTAAGTAAGTAAGTAAGTATATATGAAAATATTAAACTAATCAAGGCGATTTATGAGTTATTGATAACAGTGGGTAGTGTAATGATAGTTGTACTAGTTGTTACAACAATTATAAAGGCTTGAATCAATGTTTTTTTAGCAGGAAGTAAGGCAAAGACTTAGAAAAGTAGACACGGAAATAATTTTGTGAAAAAATGGTGGAGACAAATGGGAGGACAAAGGGTTTGGAAAATAAGTAAAATCATTTTTTATGGCTATCTCGATCAAGGAAGAGATAAGATGGTTACAAATTTATTATGAACACAAAAACCTGAGTCATTAGCTCGAATCCCTTTAGCTTCTGCTGTTTGTAAGAGACAAGATGAAACCCTATAAGAAAAGATAGTAAATAAACGATAAATTACTCCGAATCATTGTTCTATCAACTAACTGAGCATTATCGACCAAATGTGACAGAAAGAAGTTGATCAAACTCTTTGCCATTCATAAAGGGTAATGTAATGAGTAAATGTTGTTAATAAGTAAGAATAAAATGAATAAAGTTCAGTCAATCAAAATGGGATTACTAATCCGGAAAACAGTCAAAATAAAAGGATGTAATAAGATATTTCATGAAAAGAAAGAGTAGAACAAAACTGTTATGATGTAATAATGGAATATTTGTAACCAAGTCAAAGAAAGATTCACAATCATCTCTTTTTAAACAATCTCATTATATATTAATGGCTGTATTTCTGTTGTTTTGTAGCGTCAGGGAGAGTAGTTTCACGTTAGCTGTCGATAGAATTATTTTATCATTTACTACTTGCATAGTTTTCTTCCAAACCCTTGAGCGTAACCCATTTCAATAAACTCTGGTACCTTGTTTATTGCATCGTCTGAAAAAGGTCTTCTCAGCTCTATTGGTCAAGTATCTAACTACTTTTCTCTTGTAACAAATAGGTAAAACCTAAAGAATCGTGTGTAATATCATACACAATTCTAATGATAGAGTTGTTCCCCTTTGTTTTTAACAAAACATCAAAGCAACGCGATTTGTTATGTATTTCATATGTAAATCTGATTGATGAGAATATATTGTTTAATCTTCATATATTCATAACAATATAACTAGAATGTACTAGAGTTAGGTTTGGTGAAGATCTGACTTAAAACAATATTGTTCACTTATACATATTGATCTAACTAAAAAAACTGTGTTTGTAGAGTGTTCAGTTTGTTTAATTCACGTTAAATCTGATGCAACCAGGGACCAAAGGATTTTATGTCTCACACAAAGTCAACATAATGTTTCTTAGAAAACTTGGATTTCCTGAGGAGTCAACGCCCCTGAATTTTCGACGTAAAGACTCAAACCACGTGGTGCTAAAGTAGCTTTAGGAGAGGGCGGTAACCGATAATCGGTTCATACACCATCTGTCATAAGTCTTTTGTTCTGAAGCCCGTGTACACTAATGGTTTGGTATCAGGGTTTCGCAACTATACTCGGTGGAGTTTCCGTGTCGACCAAACCGACTAAAGTGCTGGATATTCACCTGTTTTGCTTTCACTTTTGACCATTCTAGGGAATTTGAGGGGCTTGTGAACTAAGTAAATGTATATATTACTAATAGTCAATATGTAGCTAATACTGTCCATCTAGATTTTCATTATTTATTTATTTGAACACATAAATATTGGTACCAAGGAGCACTGAATGCACATATGCTACATAATTCACTTGATTTATGTGTGGGCTGTGATACTCCCCGGGTGTCTAGACCGAAGCAGGTGGTTTTCTTAGGGGGTCACATTCGGAGCCTTCGACCTAAAGGTCTGATCCACAAAGCAGTGGAGTATCGTGAGGAGATGCAGTCCCATGGTAGCCGGTGAACAATAATTGATTCATACGCCATTTGTTCCCTTAGAATCCTGGAGACCGTGTGGAACATTGGTTAGGAATCAGGGTTTTCCAACTCCCCTAGTGAATCATCCGTGTCCACCAACCTGGTTAAAGCGCCGGATATTCGCTTTTCATCCTCTCAATAACTGATTCCAGACAGCAGAATAATCAATGAACTTTTCAATGTCTTGATCTTTTTCGTCACCTAATCACCTAAACTAAACTATGATTAGTAATGAATTGTGTGTGTATGCATATTTTGCTTTATTTGGAAATCATTAGTCAGATTTACCTAGATCCATGTTATTGTCTACATTGAGAATTGAATGAATAATATCCAACCAATCAAAAATCAATTTATTTAGCCTATTTTCCATGTATAACTATTATTCACTTCAACAGTATTATTCATTCATTGATTGTCAACAGTATAATCATTTATATATATTTTATAAATACATCTTTTACTTAGTATATACCATTAATCTTACTTGTGTATCGTTCTAGTCATCAGTCTAACTATCCTTTACTTTCTTTATGGTTAAACACTTTAATTATATTAGTATTACTTTTTAACTTTGATGTTATCTTTAATTTTTATTGCCGACAAATTGAAAGAAGAAAAAATAATACCCTATCAACTATAATCAAATGACATCACATCTCTGTACATACATTCCTCTCACACTCACTCACTCGCTCTCGCTCACCCTCTCCCTCTCTCTCTCTCTCTTGTCTGCTCTCCAACCTCTATCCTTATAAATAACTTTATAACTGTACATTATATAATTGTTACATATTTGAAATTTAATTTTATATTCATTATTATTCTGTATAGAAACAAGACAATGGTCTTAGTCTATCAGTACAATGTCAAAGCAATAATTATCAATATGGTAGTAAGTATCAAATGAATACATCTTATTGTAATAAAAAACACTATTACACCTTATGATTACTAGTGTTGTAACGAAATGAAGTATTGTTATTTAATAGTTGAATTCATGAGTCAATTAAAGTTAGATAACCATGGTAAACCTAGAAAAACATTGGACGGCGGTTTCGTCCTAGAACGAGATTTTTCAATAGTGCGCATCTAAAATTATGTATGAGAGACTCAAATCGTGAACCTATCAGTCTTATGGGTGGACGCCTAACCACTAGACTACTGAGCCGGTATCTAACGGTGTTAATATCTAACTTCAACTAATCCATGAAATTGTTCCACCATCCATTATTGTCTTCAGTGAGTAACTACTTCTACAACATATACGGTTGAACTCTACTGGTCGCATACTCGAAAAAAACAGCCATCCAGTGTTTTTCTAGGTTTACCATAGTAGTGCAACTTTAATAGACTCATAAATTCAACTGTTAAAATTGTGCTCACGAGCGAAACCAGTAGGTTCTGGGTTCGAATCTCGCAGAGGGCGATGTTGTGGTTGCGCACGGCCTTCCAGTGCTTCCAGGTTTTCCATGGTGGTCTAGCTTCAACTGACTCATGATCTAAACCATTGATATTAAAATTGTCATTGTATTGTATTGAACATTTTGATAACTTACATGAATAAGCAGATATTGTATAACCAAATATATATGTACAAAATCCAACTGGTACAAAACGCACAGCACCAATTACCAAAAGGCTAAGAACTTTAAAAGATAATAATAAGAAAAGTCAGAAAATGTTCATTTGGAACTAATCAGTATATAAATGTAGTTTACAATCACTAATTGATGATCATCAGAATTGATAATAATAAGTTAATAAATCAATTTCATACATATAACCTGATAGGTATAGACATAGTTATAGTCATAGAGACTGTAAATGAATTACGACGTTTTTAAGTGTTTGACCATATATATATCTTTGAAAATACACGTTGTTGCTGTGTAGTTTAAAACAATTTGATTAAATCTGGTTTAATGAACGCAGTATACTAATAGATTATTAGTGAGAACTCAAATACCTTATAACCACCTAATGATAATATAAGGTATACAGACAGATGGTTTAACACACGTAAATATAAAGTCAGATAAATATGTATGTAGTGTACTACTTATATCGACATAAGTAGTATATAACGAGAGTCAGGAATAGAACATCTGACAACAGAAGATTGAAAAAATCGAGAAGGGATGAACGGGATTGGTATGGGAATACAGGAACAGCTAACGAATATTTTGTAAATGAAGTAATAGAGTATGGTTTTTCTAGTGTACCTAGTAATTCCGTAATTTTGTGCTAAGATATAATATACATAAACCACAAATACAGAACTAACCATTGACAAGATACATTGATTTCATGGGTTTTTCTTACAAATATTTCTCGTAATATTTTGATTTGACCCTAGTTGGATTGATTATACTACTGGCAAGTCAATCAACTCATTGTATTCAACCAGTTTACTAACATTTATAAGGTTATGAATATAACAGTTAGATAATTATGAATAAGTGGTCACATGTTTGATTTCTATCTTAAAATTTATTATTTGGTTAAATAATTAACAATAAATCTTTTGATATCAGAAGCAGTTTTGTGATTAAGCGCTCTGATATAGGTCCTGGGATTGAATCTTGCTGGGGAGGTGGGATCGCAGCTGCGCACTGCTGAGGAGTCTCACAATGGGACGAAACGACCATCCAGTGCTGGTCGCGCAATTCCATGGACTGGTTTATGTTAGACATCAACACCATTGGATGCTGGCCGGCTCAGCGGTCCAGTAGGTTAGGCTTTCGCACGCGAGACTGAAGGCCCTGGGTTCGAGTCTCGCGAGCGGGATCGTGGATGCACACTTCTGAGGAGTCCCGCAATAGGACAAACCGGCGGTCCAGTGCTTCCAGGTTTCCAACGGTGGTTCTAATTAATTATCTTACAATCAATAAAACTCAAAATGAAAAACTTTAGGGTCGGTATATTTTTCTCTTTGTCTGTCTTGTAAGGAATAGGATGGTGATTTCTTTAAATTTATTGGGTTAAGCAAATGTATTCATATAGAATTTAAAAAAAATATTATAGTAACAGATATAGTCGGCATATTTTTGTGGATAAAGGTGAATGGCAGGAAAAGCTTTTTAATATATTTCTTTTCTTTAAAAATCAGATGACCATAATGAATAAAGCGGTTATTAACATTATTAGTATACCCCTATCATCTTGTGAAATCTTGACAATTCAATAAATAAATATGGCATCGTATAAAGATGACTTATTCTATTGATTTGAAATTTCATCTTCAATTATTAACAATTTAAACAAGTAAAACTTATATGCTTACCGCTAGATCATTTGGGTTTAATGATGAATCTACTAAGATTTCAGCATCTTAGAAATATAGATTCTTCAGTAAATACATACACACAAAACGTGACACATATTACATAGATATGCATATTGTTGTGATGATGTCGCTCATTTTACATGACTGTAATTCAACCTTTAATGTATTAATACAAATTTCCGATTGAGTAAGACAGATGAAATGAAAATATCTAGACAAAATCACACTACTTACAAGTAACAAAATATATTACATCGACAGTAGTAGCTTGTAGGCTGTTATTATTGATTTATTCTTGATATTAGTACTAACAACAGTTCATCGTTGAAGAACCTAGCTTGTTAGGTAACGCTTATCCATTATAAAGCTATCAAGTTAGTCACTGGTTACAAGTATAATTTTTGTGAACCAAGATGGTAAGTTATAAGTTAAATGAAACGGCAATGTTACATTTTACCGTCAACATCATGAGCTTAGCTAACAATAATAAAAGATCATGTGTGTGTGTGTGTGTTTGTGTAAATAAAACCCCTTTAATCGCTAAGATTATTTCAAATATAATTATCACATATAATGCTTTTTAAAGGTTGAATTCGTTTAAATCTAACAAGATTTCTTCGTATCCATTACCCCCAAAATTGCTGAAGCTCTTGCTATCCATGAAATGAAGTCATAACTGTATGTACGAATGCAGTACATCTTATTGTTGTCTTTATTGTGGTCATAAAATACTATTATTAATAATTTATTGAATATTATTTATTTCGTTTTTAAAAAATATCCCTCTGTCTCTTTTTGATTATCCCTCATACCTCTGTGATTTTATTCATTATTATTTGTAACTCTAATGGTTGAGATCAGGAGTCGATTGAAGCTAGACCAACATGGAAAAATTAAAAGCATTGGGCGGCCAACTCCCCCTATTGTGGAACTCCTCAACAGTGCACATCCACGATCCTTCTCGCGGAACTCGAACCCAGGACCTTTCACTTCTCGCAAGTGATTGCTTAACCTCTAGACCACTGAGCCGTCATCCAATAGTGTTAATAAAATAAATTCAACCAATCATATTTCTAGTATGTCTTTGGAAAATACGTGTTCCTCATACATCAATCTTCATTTAATGTTAAAATGAGATAACTCAAAGATTAAAATGTTCAAGTGGTAATTCCTCAAGTTATAATGAAACAAAAATAACAGTAAAAAGTGCATTGAATCTACATTGGGTTTGAATCATTTAGTTAAAATAAAATCATTGAAAGATGGGTGTACATTATCGTGAATTGATTTAATTTAAACATAGATATCGACTCATTTGGTCTAAAGATTTAACATTCAACTGTTGATTGGAAATTTCTTGAATTAGTTCCCTAATAGAATTGTAAATGTGCATTAATGTAGAGTTTCATACTGAGACAAAATAATCATTTAGTGTAACCTGACTTACTTCCCAATGACATAAACTAAAAATGTATCACGGATTATACTGTTATAGTAAGTATTGATGGAACGTATTTCACTCAGTCAGTCAGTCAGCAACAAAGTAGAACTTCGTACGTACGTACATCAGTTCGAGTTGCCACACCACCTTAGCACAGAGATGCAGTGGTCGATTCAAATCCCGTAGTACTAGATGTAGTAAAATTATAAGCTGTAATCAGAAAAATTAGGGTTTGAAGATGTTATTCAAGGAGTATAATCCAGTGAAATAAATTTGAGAACAGAAAAAAGAAAGGGACATGAAGAATTCAGAAGATTAGAATTTTGGAGAACACAAAGAGTGGATGCACCTGCACCATTGCAAACGATTTTGAGCCATGTCATTCAGGGTCTCTAACCATCGGTTGCTATCATCTCGCTGTCCCCAACCAGGTAGTCTACACCTACCAATATGATTCAGTCCACTTGTCAGTGACTTCATGGATTTGTGCTATGTTTTGATCTGACCGCCCCTAGCTTTCTTCCAATCTACTCCTATACAACAAAACGTCGCACATCGAGGCAGTCGATGGTTGGGCATGGAATGTATTTGAAATCTAACAAAAAGTTTCTAATTCATATTTGTCATTAAACGATATCCCAGGACAGGGTTGGATGAAGAATGCTGGTGAGCGGCCTATGTACCTTCACGAGGAGTAACAGGCGTAAGTAAATAAGTAAGTATTAGACGATATATATAAGTATTAACCAACATCTTGATTCATCTTTAAGCTGATAAATTCCCTAAAAGAGAATATAGTTAAGTTTCAACAAAGGGCGTATTATTCTACTTACTTCTTTTAAACATATGTAAAAAAGATATTTAATATTACCATTGGTAATTCAAGGTTAAATAATCACTCAAGGATAGTAAAATTTGATATGGTCGTCAAAATAACTACAATAAGTACTGAAAGTAATTGATTTTTTAAACGTGTACTTTAAAATGCTGAATGTGATTTAGAAACTGAATTATTCATGAAGAAGTGAATTGGTAAAGTTTTTTCTTTTCTTTTTCTAACGATCAACTAAAGGAACATTCATTAGTTTTTAGTTTTCTGCGGGTTTTATTCTCTGAACTGGATGGTTTGATAGTGTTTTCATGATATCTCAATGGGTTGTTGTCAAGATTTCTAAATGTTTTGATGTGAGTGTCCTTTTGTAGATTCATCTTTTGGTCCTCTATGACATGTTGGTATTTGTGGATCCTGTAATATGCATCCATTATCATTTGGTGTATCATTTTTCTTTCACTTTGCTCAGCTATTCGCCATCCCAATAGGTAAGTGATTGGAGGCCTGTAACTTACACTTGTTGGTAGAACATGATGATGAAGACATTCATGGAGAAAATACAGTTGTTCTCGAGTGAAAGCCTGTCATTTGGTGAAATTCTCCCATTTTCCCACAACGAGAAGTGTACCACGCTCATATGATTTTGTTATGGTAGAGAAGATTTGTAGCTCAGGTAGGTAATTTTGGTGGAGTTTCGTTCTCTGAACTACAAATCTTTTCCACTATCTCAAGTTTTCTGAGTATTCTTGATCAATATTTTCTGTTCATTGAAATACTTTTTCCATTATCATTGATATTCTGTTTTTATACTGTTGAGGAAAATTCATATTGTAGCTTGATGCATTTATATGTTAGATGGTTAAGAATGAATCGGCAAGGAACCCTTGACATAGTTCCTATGCTTCATGGATCAGTTTGTGATTTCAGAAGACTGCACAATCTCCACAATTTCATACTGACAATTATTATGTGCTCACTAGTGATCAGATTCAATAAAAATGTTCCGGATTTTCGGTGAGAAACTGTGACTAGAAAATTTCAAACGTGTTGGGTGGGTAGAAAGTACTCATTGAAGAAAATGGGAGATATTCGTACAGTATCATAGGTTGATTAAGGTAAGACTCATACACTTTTGGATCTTGGCTAACTAATCGATGGGTAAAGTGTTTGCGCACAAAACATAAGACCTTTTTTTCTGATCCCAGTTGCGTGATTGTCGATTGATGTCTGAATTGAATTGGTTTGTGACCTCAATAAGATTAAACAGTCTCTGCAACACCATAGTGACCACTCATATTTATCTGAGATATTTTTTCTATTTTTTGTTTCTAAATAGCCTTTACCCATCAAGTTGTAAATATCTCATACCTATAGCAAATCGATTACACTTTAAATAGCTTAGGGAAAATGTATCATAATAAAAAGTTGGTTGATTTAGTTTTGAATTTCTTAATAACTATCGATTTGTTTTAAGATTATCGGCAGACTCTGATGATGGGTAGTAACTGTAACTGCGCGTCCTTTCGTTTCGTTTCGCTATCTTTTCTTCACTTTATTCACTACGATTCTCTGATTGTCTGTTCCGATCAGCGAGTGTACAAAATGTACGTATTCAATCATCCATTCTCGGATTTAACCTATATAATTCCATTATTCACTGAAGTAATTTAAGTTGATTATTTTATATGAGGATAGACGCTATATGTATATTTCAATAACAATAAATCATACGATCTAAGTGGAGTCAGATCTCAGGTTACAAAATAACTTGTATGAAACCGGCATGAACCTGTCGATTACCTCCAATCACTTGACATGTAATTGTAAACAATAAATTCATTTCACTTGGTATTGTTTGTTTGAATCTTCCCACTGATGTTTAGAACTGTAATTGAACAATCCCTTATTTGCATATGTATATACTGTGCATATTTGCCTCGATATAGCCTTAATTCACAAGCATTATATGCAAACATCGACAATGGCTAGCAGTGCCAATAAGAGACTGATCAATTGCAGTCTTAAATATCAATGGGAAGATTCAAACAAACAATATCAAGTGAATTTAAAACTTCACACCCTTGCACAAGCAAGTGGCTATCAGGACTCAGTAGCTAAGTGGATAACGTAATGGCGTTTGAAGCGAACGATACTGAGTACGAGATCCAGAGTGAACTTCAACTCTGAGATGCAAGTACATTCAGTTGACCAGTCCCAAATAAGACGAAACGCGTGTTCTGGATTCCACTGCTAGCCACTATCCATCTTTAAATAAATTCACTTATTTATGTAAAAAGAAATCCAACAACAACAAAAACAAAAACAGTAAATTTACCTGATCCCATTAGACCACATATTATGATTTGATATAATGATAAAGTGAATTCTGAATCCGCATTATATTGAAAATTTGCAAAATTGCTATGATTTATAAAATTGACTGGTATACATACACCACCAATTGGTATAGTTGGATATAATGGTAATGTTGGACATAATGATACATTTAAGATACGCGGTTGAGATCTAAGAATAAAATTATCAATTAATTAAATAGATGGATATTGGGATATATGTATTAAGATATAAATGAATTAAATATAACTATGGATTGACCAAAGATACTTTAAACAGTATTGGATCACATTTCCGATATAAAGATTAATGATACTTGTTATATCCTGATGAGAATTATGAATCATAACGTTTAGGAACTATTTATGGATCAATACGATACATACATTTTTGGTGTTAAGTAACTAAACTATGCATGTTCATACTCTTCTTATTATAAGCTTTGTTTTGACCCATAGACTATTATTTTACGATTTACTGTTCTTGAGTACCGTCCGGTTTATTGATTAAAGTCTCCCACATTCACAGACAATTTTGGCTAAATCTTGTACAAATGTTATTTTCTATTTTATGGTAAGATAAGGTCTGTTTGGTTTGTATATAAACTTAATATGCTTGAGATATATATGATTCATATCGCGGAGGCTGTGTTCTGGACTTCATGGGTAGGACTAGACAGGATGCAGGACCGATAAGGACGGTAGACTACGTACGGGTTTCATGTGTGATTGGTCCGGTCGATAATTCATTGTTCTCTAATTGGCGGCATCATTACGTAATACTCATGAATCTTAGCTATAGTTAATCATATAGTTTATATTCTGTTCTTTTTTCTATAACTTTTGATTCCCTAAAGTAAGCATACATTATTTCTGAAAATTGAACGAAGATATTTAAATCACATAACTTACTTAATAGTTGAATTCATGAGTCAGTTGAAACTAGACTGATAGGTCATGGGTTTGAATCTCGTGAGTCAGAGTCGTGGATGCGGACTGTTGAGGAGACACATACTAGGATGAAACGGCTTTTCAACACTTCGAGGTTTCCTATGGTGATCTAGCTTTAAATGACTCATGAACTCAATTATAAAATTACTATAATCTTCACAATACTCTCTCTGAACATCAGTTATTCTTTTATGAAATTTGTCGTTTAAATTTAAACTAAATTGTCAAGTAAAATTAGTTTTATTATAAAGACATCTATAATTTAACTAACAAACTCTAATACGTAGTTATGGCACTACATTCATTACACAAACCATATTAATGATTTAATGAAAATACAACACTTTACAAATATATATTATGTTTTGGAAGGCTACACAGTTTTTTCTAGGTTTGAGTCTCAGTACGTAGAACTTCATACGTACGTACATCAGTTCGAGTTGTTATACCACATTAACACAGGGATACACTTCTCAATTCAAATCCCATATTCGTAGAGGCAGTAAAAGTATAAGCAGTAGTCCGAAAGATTAGGGTTTGAAGATGTTATTCGAGGAGTATAATCCAGTGAAATAAATGTGGAAAGAGTAAAAAAGGACATGAAGAATTCCGAAAATTAGAATTTGGGAGAAAACGAAGAGTGGATGCAACTGCGTCGTTGTAAACGATTTTGAGCCATGTCATTCAAGGTCTCTAACCATCGGTCGCTATCAACTCGTGGATCTCAACCAGGTAGTCTATACCTTTGCATGAATATTACAAATGGGATCCTGAATTATTCAGCTGGTAAGTTACAAACAAGATAAAGTACATATTTTGTATTCATTTGATAGATATTATCCAGAATACAATAGAATTATCAATCACTCATTAAATAAAAAAAGAATATATAAGTATGAAAGTGAATAACCATATAGCAACTAATAACCATTCACTTTTACTGGTCATATCAACAGCTTTCCAAATAGGTAAATTATTTTTAAGGAATAAACAATACTTTTTCTTTTTAAATACGTTCCAAATTTAGTAGTACGTTTATCTATAAATAAGTACATGCCTATGATCAAAAAAGAGTACTAATATATATAGTGGATAGTAAGCTATAGACACCCTTTAAAAATTATTGATGCTATAAGTTTACATCGACAAAATGAACTAAAGTGTGTTTTTATCCATAAACTAGGAGTTGGGGAATGTGACTTAATTGACTAGACTACTGAACTATATCTTAAAACTCGATACATCCATGTTAATTTCACGATTTTTGATATTCACGGAAAATATTTTATACAACACGACAATCACGAGAAGTGAAATTGATCAAATGTTCACTTTTTAAATAAAATGAAAACCCAAATTAAAATACATCATTGATTTAGATAGTTGACTCCATCGCTACAGTTAAACAATTTCCAAAAAACTATTCAAGTTTGATTGATTTCCTACAGAAAGGATATTGTCAAAGTTATCAACTTGGCTGTAAAAGTGTATCCAGTTTCATATTACAGTTCTAACAAGTGGTTAGCACGTAGACCAGTTACAAAGTTCCCTTGATGCTTTATATCCAAGTGTCTACAGTTTACTTAATCATCTTAAAAATAAAAACCGACACCTCTCAGTATTGCCATACTAGATAAATGCAGAACTATATAATCTGTTAAAGGATTGTAATAATAGTAATCAATAAGTGATTGATTTTTACGGCCTATTTTCTCTGTGAAAAAGTCCAATATCTTGCTCACATAGTACTTAGTTGAATAGTAATCCAGTCAGACTGTGATTGAGTATTGTAAAATTCCATTCAGTGTTTCGACATATTAGATGACAAATAAAATTAATTTTTGAGAGAATTAAAATTCTATTCACTCCATACTGTCGAAGTCACTTGAATAAATTTCCTTAAGTATGTGCTTTGCACCAAGTTAAGTATTCGCTTTGAGTTTACATAACCTCTAATGATGTTTTATCACACTAAGCGGTCAGGTGGTATAATTTCAATCATCGTATGATGAAAGTGTAAGAAGAACTGTGGTTTGTTAGTCATTTTTAGCTATCCTTAATCTTAGCTATCTTACTCTAAATGATAATACAAACTAGTTCTAAAGTAGAATTTTACGCCATGAAAAGGAAAAACAAACCTCAAATATGCTTGAGCAATTACTGAGGGTGTTCAAAAGACTTTGTATTACGCTAGCATTGTAGGGACGTTTAAACTAACTAAAGAAAACTAACACATCAACTTTTGAATGAAAAAATTTATTGAGTGATTTGAATGTCGAGGAAACACTAATGAAATAAGGAGGTGTAGTTGTAAGTTACACAGCTTGTTAAAAAACTATGAAGCTTTTCTAAATACACCATCCAATGTCATAAATATATTTATATACAAGGAAAACACAAAACCCTCACGAAATAGTTTATGGTTTCTATAATAAACACATGCTATTAAATATTTTAGTCTCAAAATATTATACATAGTAAAACGTTTTCTATAAATTGTTTTGTTCACACAACGGTCTTGTATAAATTCATTCATACGTTATAATAGTCAAACAAAAAACTGTCCTCTGAATAAGCAAACCTAAATTATCGCCTATAACTAAAATAAGCTAAGTTTCGCTTAGTGAGTTTTTGCAACAAATTGAGATGAAAACAGCTAATCGTCACAAATATATGTGTCTATAAAAATAATCACTTCTTAAGAAGAATAAAATGCAAAATGTAGACAAAAACTTGATTTCTATGTTTTGTCATCGCTATCACCGAAATGCACAGATCTTACTACTAAGCAAACATAAACACTACCTATACCATGATAATCGTGAGATGGTTTAACATCTAGCATTAAAGACCGACTTCTGACAGTGGCTAGCTGCCGTTAATCCTTATTTATGGGCGTCTTCGATCATTTTAAATCTTATGACGCATTATTTCACTTAATGAAACATTTAATGTTTTAATCTTATTGTAACCGTCTTATAACTCTCCAAATCAAAGATATTGGAGTTCTTTTAATTATCCTGGATAGCTTTCTGCTTTCCTTTATTTTACAGAGGGGACCGCTAACCCATATTTAACTCCCCTCTTTTACCTGGGCCTAGGACCGGCAGTAATCACATATGTGCTGCAAGGGGAGTACAAACGAGAAGAAAAATATTTCAAGTACTATGGATGGTCCTCTTAAATTTTGCAACAACTGACTTTATAATAGATTGAAAGTACTTTCGCAAAAACAAATATGTAGATGTCGATATTACGTGTAATTGTTTAACTGAAAAAAATTTAAAACAGGAAACTTTATTGAAATCTTTAAAGATTTAGTAAACAGAATTTTCAACCAACACACTCTATACACATAACCCTGCACATACACCGGATAGATCATATGTTCTTAAAAAGACGTTTGTAAATGATAAAGTAAGCACAATGACTAGGTCTCACAACAAAAAGATTGTAGAAGCAATATTAAATAAATGTTGTCCAACTTACTCATAAAGCAGAGGAGGAATCCTTGGGTCACACAAGAATACACCTGTTGAGTTTATAAAATTTGAAAGCTGCTTCGAAGAGTTTATGAAACGGTCCGGACATCTTTGAACACAAACAGGTACAGATAATACCTTGTCTTCAAAATTAGTGTGAAGCAAGTATCTATAAATAAACCATGTATGTGTCCCTACTTATACTTAGAAACGTTGAAATTCATAAACAAAAGTGGCTTCAGATTCTTTTCACTACCACAAACGTTGCCATTACAGTCGTAGTTGCTGAAAAGTATTTCTAAATCCGATAATGCTATTACGTAAATCCAGAGACCGATCTATTGAACGTTTGTTAAAATGCAAGCAAAAAGCTCACTATGACAAAGCTAACTGAGACGAATATACCACCGAATATTTTATCTGTAAATTTGGACTCAAGCGATTCCTCATCGTACATCGTATTACCGCTGCCTCATAATTGACCTTAAATTTGATCCTTCCGCAAATATGATCTATGGAAATTAGTACAAAAAAATCAAAATCCTTAAAAACTCAACAGAACAAGTTATTTAAAAAACACTTTTTATTAACATTTTCTTTCATTTTAATAGATGCAGATAAAAGTATATGATATTTTATTGCATATTTTAGAACAAAGAGTATGGGTGAACTCCAAATTGTCTAGCTGGGAGACTGTGCTTATTGGAGTGCCCCCGGGTGCAGTTTTGTTCATCACAGGCTCAAAGTAATACATTTGATCGGGTTTGACAAAGAGTCCAACTTCTAGCAAGTTCACACTTTTACATATATGCATTATAAGAGAGTTTTTTTGTTTTCATACTTTTCCGTGCACAAGATATCTACACTGTGCCTATTTCCTTCCAAAATACCAATCCGTTCTGGGGGCCAATCACTTACGTGGAACCGAACAATTATCAATTATATTTATGTATTTCCATTTTGTATCTTATTATTTTATGCAGGCAGTGGATCAGTTCTTCAGGTTTGATCGGTTTTCACCATTACTTTTGAAGTAGATTCTTCCTTACTTTTTACTTAAGGGCGACTCAAGAGACAGGTGAGTAAACATTTGATAGGCGGTCTGAGCATGGAAAAATCATACCTCATCAACATGGTGTTGGGTAGCCTGCTCGCGGCACTTCCTCAAATATTCTTGTTCCTTATTCCCACACTGTCTTGCGAGCACGTAGCAAACCGTCAGCGATGGTTGTAGAAGAAATCACATGCTACAAAATAAACTGACAAGCTATCAAATGAAGCTAAATCTATGAACTATCGTTGACTGCTGACGGAGTTAGTCGTCATTGACTGGAAGTCAAAGTGAGCAAGTTGATAATTTTCCCTTGGGTAGAGTAAACAGAACTAAGGTGTTTTTGATAAATAGGTTAGTCGAACCGACGTTCTTACGGAAGTCGATTCTAGGGGGGAGCTAATGTAACAGCTTAGTTTGGTTGGTTAAGAGTTCACCTCAAACAACTAAGCATATGTCAAAACAGTATAGTTCAAGTATTCGTTCACTTCCTTGCTTTGTATAGGCGTTATATTTCCTTTTATCTCATATTGAATGTTGAGAGGTTTTGTTTGTCTGAATAAATAATCCCACGCTCCACTGTGACTGCGCGAAGATCTAAATAAAGACCTACTAACTACATGTCTGGTTTCTTCTATCAATAGCACGAGGGTTACCTAGAGGAACCTAGAGGAACGAAATACTTACCAACACTGTCAGCAGAAACTTCATAAAAAGATACGCGAAAACCAGTTTAGTCAGAAGTTGGAAAAAAGGGTTCGAAAATGTCTTTCAATCGTATTTAGTGTGTTGAGCTTTATTTAATTTAGCTGACTCGTCCTCGTGAGGCCTGCGCAACATGGCGTACCTGAGCATGGTCTAACGTTGACGCTTGATGCACTACCTTCAGCAATGGATGCCGCCAATCACAGAGCAGTGAATTATCGATCGAACCAGTGACGCATAAAACCCGTGCGAACAGCCTAGATTCCTTATTAGTCCTGATTCCTGCCTAGCCCAGTCAGTTAAGTCCAGAACGCCAATCTCAGCCTCTGTAATATGAACCATGTATTTCAAGGATACTGGGTTTATATACCAACCAGACAGACTACATCGTAACATAAAATAGGAAACAACACTTGTACAAGAATCAGCCAGATGTGGCCGTGAATGAGGAAGATAGTAATTGATAGACAGGGTATAACTCAAGAATGGTGAATCGTATAATAATATTTCATAGGTCATAATAAAGCTCATAATAAGAGGGACAAGAATATGATTTTTTTAGTTATTTAACAATTATACGATGAAGTGTATGCATAGTATTGATTCATAAATGGACCGCAAAAGTTACCATTCATTATTCTTATCGGGACATAACAGTTAGACTAACAGATGGGTGGTTAAACGTGAGCTGTCTCTTTCTACTCCTAAAAATTGGCAAGATATGGCGTCCTTCAATCTTTTAGAAACAGCTCAAAGATGTGAGGAGAGGGGAAATCAACACTATGCGTCCCCGCAAGAATACCTGCGAGAAATTAGTGAAACTGGAGATGTAATCCATCAGCACTCGATGAGGCAAATTTTAGTCAGTTAATGAACTCATAACCACTGAGTGGCACTTAAACACCAGTACGATGGTTGGTATCTCAGCAGCACCGATGAGCGTTGTTCCAGCCTTAATTTTCCATGCATTGGTCTCTCTGAAGTACTATGTTAAACTTTAAGCATTGGTTCCACCTGACTCCGAGTATGTGAATCTTTTTATAAGGGCGGTGATGAAATCCTACCTCGTCGTTTAGCTCTTTCCGTAATACGGAGAACATTCTTCCTAAACAAGTTTCACGGCGCCACAGATATTCGAAGTTCGAGAATATCTTCACACGCAATTTTTATGATCAAAGTATACCAACCCATTCAAATCCGAAGTTAGAAAATAATAGGTTAAAAGATATATTTTAGGGGCTGTCGATATATTGGGAAGAGTTGATTCGCAGCTGCAAGTGATGCGTAGCACAGTGAACCCGCTCGTGATCTGGTGTGGATGCATGAACGAATGTAGTGAGCTAGATTTACCCACTAAAACTAACGAAGCCAGTATCAAATTTTGAGTTTCAATTTGGAAAGGAACGGAAGCTCGTTGGTCTGTTTTAACCCTGGCAATGATTGTCTCTCAGTTGATCCAACGTTCTCTTGAAACAGCCGACAGATTAAGCTTCAATCGCGTGCTGAGGCAGTGAATTTCACTCGTTGATGATTTGATGGGAAAGTCGATAGTCAGCTGACAAGTAATTTGTTCTGGGTTTGTGAACTTTTTTGGAGTGTCCCCGTAAGTTCCATGTTTTGGAAAAGAAAAAAAATGGGGGCATATCAGATGCAAATTTATCACTAAGCAATTTCAAAACTATGATCAGGCCACTTCTAATTCTTCAATACGACAATGGGAATATGTTTAGTTTAGCTAGTCGGGTATCATACGGGAGCCTCTAAGTTCCAGGAATTAGCTTAATTGCTGTTCTCTGAATCTTTTCAAGAAGCTCTCTGTTTTTTTAGCGGGGTTAGCCGCTTGTATGGTGTGCTGAAGTCCAGGACGTACGAATACTGTGTACAAAGATAAAAACGTTTTAGTGTCGACATGGCTAAAGGCTCTACGTATTGACCATAAGGTTCTGAAACCTTTGGCGGCTACTGCACAGCAGTGCGCAGTAGTCTTTAAGTCTTGACTAACGATGGCTCTTAAGTCACTATGTGTGTCTGGACAACAGGTACCTCAGTGTTATTCATCGTGTATGTATCTGTACCTTGCTGGTCAATATGTATCACAACACACCTGGAAGTATTTATCGGCAACTGCCAGGTTTGAGACCATTCGAATAATTTCTTCAGGTCATTTTGGATTTCTAAGCTATCACCGTCACATCGTATCGTTCTCCATCTCTTGACATCGCCAGCATATATCAAGATCAATTGTGATAAGAGGCGAATGAGGTAACTTACATACAAGAGGAATAGCATTGGCCCAAAAATGGTATCATGAGGAACCCCGCTAAGCACAGTTTCCCGTCTAGACAATTTGGGGTTCACCCGTACTCTTTGTTGGCACCCAACTAGGAAGTGTGTAATCCACATTAATAGATTGTCCTCAACCACGACATTCCTTAGCTTATACAACAGCCGGTTGTGAGAAACTATGTTAAAACGTTTGCTGAGGTCAATGTAGACTACGTCTATAGATAACGTTTGGTTTGTAAGAGCGCACCACGAAACAGCTACTTCCGAATAACCTTAAAACAACCACGCTAGTCACGCTAACGGGTCGGTAGTCCTCAATTTTATGCTTAGTACCTGTTTTGAAGGCAGAACTAACAATGGCCTTCTCCCAGTTTTTGGTGACCGACCCTGGGTTACAGATAGAATAAAACATATACTTAAGGGGTTCCTAACGAAGTTTGCTAGTTACCTTAGTAACCTAAGATGTTGTTAATCGGATACCAGTGATTTGCCTATATCAAGCTAATTTAGCAGACCAAAGACTTCGATTTCTTTAATGGCCACGTTGTCTAGTGTGTGAACTGACAGGGAGAGTGTTTTTACGGTATATACATTGATAAAGTAGTTTGAGAATACTTGATTTTTATTATAGTCGTCCTCTGCTAATGATAAAGCATTACTGTCTCCCCATTATGCCGGAATACTTCCTCGCCTTTTTGTCCTTCGGTTTATGTATGATTACAAGCGTTTAGGGCATTCATTAGATTCCTTAGCAATTTCTTCTTCGTAAAACCTTCTAGATTTACGGAGGGTCGAGGCACAAGTATTCCTAGCTTCTCGATATTCAGAATTTGTCTCATCAGTACCCAACAACCTAAATGTTATCCACATTGTCCTCCTTTTACAGAGAAGAGTGCAAACCTCCCTACTAAATTGCGGTGGAGAGTTTCTCGGACTCCTTGCTGTAGTCCAATGGATTTGAGGTGCAGTAACTTTTAAGTTTATATTTCGAAATGCATCACAAGCTGTTTCAATTGTTGACTTTGACTCTATTTTCCAATATACTGAGGATGCTTACTGAATTTGCTTTCCAGACGTCACATCTGAGTTAAGTTAACTTGTGCTCGCTTTTCGACAACTATATAATATAGTATATTTCTGCAAGGGTAGGTACACACTTTTTACAGACATGATCTACACAGTTAGAAATTCATGATCACTTTTATCTGGGGGTGTCATGTAGTCAAAGTTCGTGGTGTTATCCTCATAACTGGTCAATATGAGATCTAGTAAGGATGATTCAGTGTCCAGGTGGTACCTAGTCGCTCATTTCACGTGTTGCATTAGGGTACATGTGATAACGGCAGCAAGTTAACTAATTCACACGTCCCACTCTCATAGGATAGTGTCAAAAATGGAATGGGATAGTATTCCTAATGAACAGAGCTACTCCCCTTCTTTACTCCTCCGGA